TGAAAGAAAAATCAAACATATTCTGAGAAAGCAAACACCACTTTTGAAAGGTTTCATTCTTCAACCCCCTCCCTCCCTTCCCCATTGAGAAATGGCTTTCCTGAAAGCCTGTCCATCAGTGCCACAGCTCCCCTCCCTCACAGCCACTGACAGCTGTGCCAATTTGTGTTTTCCAGCTTGCAAAACTATGCTGCCCTCCACGGGGTGTTCTACTGCCAAGTCCACTACAAGCTGATGGCTGGGGCTGGAAGCAGAGGAGAGATGGAAAGGCTGGAGCACTACCAGGTTCAGCATGGACCACAGCCCCAGGACTGGTGTAACAGGGCCAAAAAGACTGAAACAAGAGAGAAACCCACATCCTTCAATGCACAGTGTGACCTGCAGTTGGCTGAGCACAGGAACAGCAGGGCTGTCCTCAAAGGGAACAAGCTCAGAGCAGTCTGGCCACCTTCAGAACCAGCCTTGGCTGTAGGTGGGAAAGCTGGAAATGGAGTGTGCTCCTGGAAAAAGCCTGCACTGAGCCTGCAATCCCACCAGGCTGCAGGCAGGATGGTGCTCAGGGGTCAGGAGGGAGCAGTGGAGAAGGGAAGAGTCTTACCTGGAATCACCTACACCAAGGAAAGAGAGCAGGGCTGTTCCTGGCCCAAGAACAGAGAGCTGAGAGGCCCTGGAGAGGCTGGGGATGGGGATGTGCCTGAAGGGAAGCAGGGTGGGAAGGTGTCCCAGAGAGTGGCCGCAATCCAGCAGGGCCAAGCCCAGCTGAAGACAGAACCTGCCTGTGCCTCCCTCCCTCCCATCCTGGAGCCTGTGAAAGCCCTGCCTGGTGCCTCACTGGCTCCCCATCCCACACACCAAAGCACCAAACCCACCCCCAGGATGTACCTGGGGGGCACAGGGGGCTGCACTCTCACTGCCACAGAGGTGCCAGTGACACCAAACAAGGTCTGTGGGTCACTGAGCACACCCAGTGAAGGAGGCACAATCACAGGTGACAAACCGGAGCTGACCACAGCCCCCCCAGATACTGCAGGGGCCAAGCATCACCCTGAAGAGGGAATGAACAGCACACAGGCCACTCATGTGCCAGGAGAACCCCAAACCAGAAACACCACAAATACTGAGCTAAAATATACAGCTGAGGATGCTGATTCCCCTGAAGATGAAGCTGAAGAAGCCCATTCCCCCTCTGGAGTGCTGAGGACCTCTTCTGTATATCCTGGTTCCCTGGAGCCAGGAGGGCCAGGTGTGTCACCTGAGATCTCTGAAATGCTGAATGAAAAATCAAAGACAAACACCAGAGAATTCCCTGGCAAACAGATGCCATTAACTCTGGGGGAAGCTCTGCAGCCATCCAGCAGAAGTGATTTGCCTGGAATTGAGAGCAAAGGGGCAGAATTTGAGAAGACAAAAGAAGAGAAATCAGTAACTATGCCAGCTTCTCTGGAGGAGCCCAGTCCTGAGCATACATCTCAGGAAAATGAAGCTGAAAAGAGCAGAGTCTTCTCAGCTGGTAGTCCAGACGGGACAGATGATCATAATGCATCCTCTTTACAAGAAACAGAACCCAAGGACACGTGTGGCCCACTGAAAAGTGACACCCATGAGGGTATTTGGAGACATGATACCAAATCATCTGGCAAGGATTTTCTAATATCAACAGACACACCTCTGAAAGGAACTTGTGCCCCTTGCCCCTCACATGATGAACTCAACAAGCCCAAGTCAAAGGAATCCAGGGAAGTTCTTAGTGAAAAGACCTTGCACATTTCAGAGCAACCAGGCAAGACACCAGAATATTCCAAACTAAATACATCCTTGGACAAATGCAAAGCCCATCCAGTAGGTGAAGAAAAAGTGGATCTGAAACCTCCAGGGGAAAGCACTGTGCCTGTGTCACAGACTGGGGCCCAGAGCAAGGAGGCCAGAAACAGCCAAGCCTGTAGAGAGACACCAGGTAAAGGTTTCAGGCTTGGGAAAAACCCCTTCATTACCCTTTTTGGCTCTGAAGACAAAGGCAGAACTCCCAGGAAAGAAGCAACAACCCCAAGGAAACCCAGAAAACCCCAATCAGCCCTTGCCACTTTGTTTGGTCACTCCTTAGAGAAGAAGCAGAGTCAATCAGAAAAACCTGCAGGATCCTCAGAACAAGCAAATATTGATGGCAGCACAGAAAAGGCCCAGGGCCTCCTCAGCTCCTCCAGCCAAGCAAAGCAAAATGCCTCCAAGAATGATCAGCTGCCACAGCCTGGAAAGGTGGAGGCATTCCCTAAACACACCCAGGAGGGCTCTGGAGGATCCTCAGGCTCTGCTGATGTCCTGTTGTCAGCTCCCATGTCATATGATGATAAATGTGAGAGAACTGAAGTTGACATTCATGACGAAGAGTCTTTAAATAGTCAGGTTTGGCAGCAACACAACAGCTCTTGGCCCCCTCTCATGCCAGCACAGAAGAGTCAGAAAGAATCTGCAGGAAGCTCAAACCATGGACCAAACCCTCCACAGCTTCCTCCAGAGCTTGTGCCTGCAGCTGACAACAGCAAAAATCTCACTGGGGAAAGGAATCACCATGGTGCTCATATGCCAGGAACCCAGAACCTGGTGAGCTTGGATGCCCAGGACACAGGGGCACAGGATGGGATATTTTTTTCACCAGGCAATTCAGAAGAGTTACCCAAGGATGCTGAGCTTCAGTTTGGCAACATGGATTTTCTGGGGGGCAGTAACTTATTCTTTCCTGGACAAGATTTCCCCAGTGCAGCAAATGAAACTCCAAATTCAGATTTGCAAAACTCAGAGGCAGAAACTCCACCTTTCTTTGATCCAAAGCCTTTTGATTTATTCCAGGAAATCTCATCAGAAACAAACACCTCACTAGAGCTCTGGGACACCTCCAGCCTCTCGCTTCTTGATGGGCAGGATGAGATTAATATGAGAGACCTGGAAGGGATTCAGGGCTGTGAACTCCTGCTGCAGGTGGATCCACAACGCCAGGCTCCAAAGGCAGCAGAAGAAATGTTTGGGATGGGTCCCAGTGCTGAAGGCTCCACAAAAAAGCATCTCCCTCCACAGGATGACAATTGTCCCTCAACATACATGTTCAGCAGCTGTGCTTCTGAAATCTCCAATCAGGGTGTCCTTGATAATTTTCATGTTGATTCCACCAAAACAGACCAGGATGCTTCTGAAAAAATGAACAAGAGCAGAAAAACATCAGGAGACAAGGAAGATTATGACAGTCTGTCTTCTGAAGACTTGGAGATGTTAAATTATGATCTTTCAGAGAAGGAGTTCTTTATATAGGTGAAAAAAAATTTATAAAAAACAACACAACCCTCCCTGCAGCACAAGTTTTCTGATACAGGACCAAAAGTGATTCTTGAAATAAGCTGTACAATGATAAGCAAAGAAAAGTGAAATGAGTTTGCCAAGGTCGGAAGGGCAGAGGAGGGAAATGAACCCTGGTGTCCTGAAGTCTTGGGGTGTGGGGACATTGCTAAATCCACTCTCCCTGTGCCCCTGCACTCTACTCCTCTCCGAGTGCCCTTTGCATAAATATTACATAAAATAAATGTTATAGGAGTTAACAATTATACTCATGATAAACAAGCACAGGAGAAACCCCAGAGGGCCACAGCATGAACACGTGCACACTGAAAAGGGCCATAAAGCATATCAGTTCACATGTTTTAATCAGCTGTCTGTAAAAAATAAAGGTATTAAAATGATTAATTTTTAAAAAAGAACAAAATGAAATGAAAGGAAATGAAATTAAATTAAATTAAATTAAATTAAATTAAATGGAATAAAATAAAATAAAATAAAATAAAGTATAATAAAATTATAAAATAGCCCAATAATCTCCCTGCCTCACCAGTGCCAAAAGGAGGAATGGGAGGGGACACCATGAGCCGCACACAACAGGGTGAGCCTGAAGATTTGAGATTGATGCAAAGAAGGCAGGACAAGGACAAATGTCTCTGCCAGAGCAGATCTCCCCAGCCAGGTCATCCCACCAAGAAGCCAGAGATGCTTTCAGGGTTAAAGGAATCTCTGGAATTTGTGTAGCTCAGCCTCCTGCTCTGGGAATGTCTCTGAATAACACCAAGTCCACTCATCCAAGGATGTGCATGCAGAGCTGAGTGATGTTTGGCTGTGTGGTGTGTGCAGATGATAAATGCACTGCACTGGTGTGATTTTACACAACTGTAAGTAACATTTACTCCTCTCTTCTTTTATTCTGAACAGCACCAACCATTGGAATCTCACTCTCTCACTCCAGCTTAGGGGTGATGCTTTCAAATAAAATATTCTTCTCCTTTACTGACTCTTATAAGCACAACAGAGCTATTCCCACTCCTGAAACACCAATCCAGGTTGTGTGACCCAGGAGGAGTTTAGATCTAGTTTTATGACTAACCAGGGTTTCTACAAATGAAAACAGAGAGCTTGGGACACAGCTGCCAAGAGCAAGTCTATTGGACTACCAGACACATTTCCTGCTCCCGAGGAGAAGTGCTCTTCTGCTCCTCTTCCATATTCTCTCACATATCTCTGTCTCCAGGATGCGCTCTCTAGTCATTAAACCATTAATGGGAGCAGCAAACTTACTCTGTCTGCATCCCCATCCCCAGAAAAATTAACCCGCATTTGTAGAAGGCCACCTTCATGCCTCAGACACAAAGCTTGAGCTGCAGCACAGCTGCCTTCAGGAGGCCTTGTGACAATTGTCAGGCTGGAGAAGGACAAGATGTCCCTATACCATCCCCAAGAGTGACAGTGCTCTGGCACCTTTGATCTACTCTCTAGAGCAGGGAGGGAATGGCTGGTGACAAAGTGCAGCCTGCAGCACTGCACTGTATCATCAGAATGGACTGGTGTGCCAGTGCAGGTGCTCATTTTATCACACTGGATTAGGGCTTTAGTGCTCACACAGTTTAAACATTAATATTTGCCTATTTAAGCCATAGGCACCGGCACAGCCTGGCCACAGAGGTGCTGCCATGGCTGAGTTTGGGGACCTTTTAAAGGCTCTGGGGGAGTTTGGGCTCTATCAGAAACTTCTGATCCTGCTCCTCTTCCTCTCACTCCTTCTCAACCCTTTCCAAATGTTTGGCCAAGTGTTCATGGTGGTGGAAGTGCCTCACCACTGTGACACCAGCTGGATCCTTGCCGTGGGCCCCAACCTGACAGAGGAAGAGCAGCTGAACCTCACCCTGCCCCGGGGCCCCGACGGGCACTTTGAGCAGTGCTCCATGTTCTCCCCGGTGGACTGGGACCTGGATTCCATCCTGGCCTATGGGCTGAACCACACTGAGAAGTGCAGCAGTGGCTGGGTGTACCCCTCCGAGCAGCCACCGTCCCTGCTGACCGAGGTCTGTACCTGCTGCTGCATCTGCTGGGCTGTGGAAGGGAGGGATGGGAATATCCTGGGCTGTGCTTTGGTCAGCCAGTGCCAGCTGTGGTGCAGAAGAGCTGTGGGTGAGACTTTCAGAATAATGTCTTACGTCAAAAGTTCTTCAGCATTTTTTCCTTCCCTCTATGGATATCCAGCTTTCTTTAGGCAAAAGTCCTTCAGCCTTATTCTCTTTCCTCTATGGTTATCCAGCTTACTTTCTGCAACTCTAAAATACTTGAACTATCAGTGGTTCCAGTAATTTCTCCACTGTAAATGTCTGGATCTGCAGATTCCAGGGATCAATTTGCAGGTTAATGTTTGGCACTTTTGTTTACATTTAACCTGGGTACAAAACAAGAGAAGTGCAATAAGCCAATACTAACCATGACCACAAGCCTCATTGCCTTCTGTCATTGCCTTCTGGGAGGGGATGGAATATCCTGGCCTGTGCTTTGGCCAGCCCATGCCAGCTGTGGGGCAGTCAGGCTGAGATTTACTGCAGGGTTTTGTCTCCATCACACAGATGGCAGCTGGAATCCCTGGAGCTCATTGCAGCAAGGCCATGGTGAGGATTCCTGGGGAGGGCACAAGCAGGGACTATGGGGTGTGAGTCCAGCACATGTTGTGCCCACCATCTGTCCCCTTTCCACTCTCCAGACCCTTGACTTCATGATGTAGCTGCATGGAGTGACCTTCTGGGAATCCCTGCCACAGTACCCCCTGTTCTTCTGCCTGCTTCTACTCACAGCATCTCTGTAAAAGACATTTACCTTCCAAGTGATTGTCATTGATATTTCCTGGGCCTCCAGGAACCCTCAGAAAGGCAACAAGACATGCCAGGGCCTTGCAGTGGAGCAAAAGCCTTGTTTATCAGCATCCTCAACTTCTCCATTCTGCCTTTCTCCCACCTTCTAGTTTACATGGTTGTAGTCTGTCAAACATTGTATTTTATGTTCTTGGAGGTCTTTTCCAACCTAAATTATTCCATGACTCTGTGATTCTCCCTGTGTGGACCTTTGCTCCTTTCTCATTTTCCCTCATTCTTACTCCCTTCTTTCCTACCTGCCAGCTCCAGCACTTTCTCACAAGTACCTTCCATGGAGCTAGAACACAGGACAAAGTCCAGCCTCTGGCATTTGCAAAGGCTCCTTGGTGTCCCTGGAGCACCAAGTCCATTCCAGACAAGGCTTCTCTGCAGGTGTCAGCAGCTGCATCCCTTCCCATTCCTCCTTTATCAGTAAAAAACACTGCTCTCCTCCTCTTTCCACCCAGAAAGGCTGCCCAAGCCCAGAGAGCAGCTGGACTCTGTCCAAAGCAACAGCTTCTGTGTTTTCCTTCCTCCAGTTTGACCTGGTGTGTGACAGGGCGGTCCTGAATGATGTCTCCCAGTCCATCTACATGGCTGGCCTTCTCATTGGAGCCACGGTCTTTGGGATGCTGAGTGACAGGTGAGGAAACACAGTTCCTTCCCACAGACACTGCCCAACAACCAGGGACAGCCCAGATCAGGGGGCAGACTGCCCATGCACTGAACCTTCACAGGATGCAATCCCCTTGCCTGAGATTGGGCATCTGGGCCCACCTGAGAGCTCTGGAAATGTCTGAGGGTGGAAAAGAGAGGCAGATACAGCCTTGTGGGGGGGTTCGTCAGCAACCACAAGTTTAGCCCCTGTGGTGTCTCAGGCTTTGCCAGAACCATGATGGGTCAACACTGGAGACACTGATTTTTCTGCGCATTGTTTCTTGGGGTGTAAAGAGGAGCTATGTTCACATGGGTGTCAAATCTCCTCTGGTTCTCAAATCACTTTCCATCCCTCCTGGGCTCTTCCCTCTCCCCTTGGGGTCTCTCCAGGTACTGACTGGGTCTTCCCTCTCCTTCCACAGGATAGGCAGGCGGCCAGTCTTTCTCATCTGCATCCTCCTGCAGGCCGTCTTTGGCCTGGCAACTGCCTTTGTGCCCCACTTCTATGTGTTCATGGCCTTCAGGTGTGTCGTGGGAGCTGCCGTGTCAGGAATTATGATTGCAGGCGTGTCCCTGGGTGAGTGGGACGCCCTTGCCCTGAGGGAGCAGATGTGGCCTCACAAGACACAGTAACAAAAGAGAAACCAAAAAAACCCCTGAACGTTTGTTTTTCCTCTTAGCTACAGAATGGGTTGGTGTCTCCCACCGGACAATGGCGCTGGTCATCACTCACACGGCTGGCGCTATTGGGGAAATGTTGGTGGCTGGTTTGAGTTATGGAATTCGCCACTGGAGGCTGCTGGAGATTGCAGGATCTGCTCCTATGTTTGCCCTTTTCTTCTATATTTGGTAAGGAGGAGCAGGGCAGAGCTTCTGGAAGACTAAATGCTGATGTAAGGATGTGAGAGAGGAGGAGGCAGCAGCTCAGAACCAAGCTGGGTCTTTCCCATCGGAGTGCAGGTGCTGCAGGAGCTGCTGCAGAGCTCAGCACATCTCCCTGGGCCCTGCACTGCTGACAGCAGCAGCTGCTCTGCTCCAGGTCTCCACATGTGGCCTTTGAAGCCTAAATTCAGGGTGTTTAGACCCATTGATCCCATGGGCCTTTCACTTCAGAGTTGGGCTTGATGATCCTTGTGGGTCCCTTCCAACGCTGAAGGTTCTGTGGTTCTGGGATCTGATCCTGTGGTGATTCCAAGGCTTGCTGGACACAGTCCCAGAGAAAGGGGCTGTGGGGGATCTCAGCAGGACACAGCAGCATGTGCTGGCCTCCTCTCGTGGCAGGGTGCTCCCAGAGTCAGCTCGCTGGCTGGTGACCAAGGGCAGAATCGAGGAAGCCAAGAAGGTGCTGCAGAAGGCGGCGGCCACCAACAAGCGCAGCCTCCCACCAGAGCTCCTGGAGCAGGTACTGGGGGGCCCTGGCCTCAGACACTGCCCTGGGCCTGGCAGCAGCCCCTGGAGCTCAGCTCATCCCAGAAACCTCTCTGCATTCCCACTGGGGCTGCTCTGGCCATGGGCTCTGGGGGACTCCAGCTCCAGCTGAGTTCCACAGGGACCAGGTCATGGAAGAGGCCCAGCCTCTGCTAAGGATCAGCCTCGAGCTTTCTGGGGTCCCCCTGGGCATGTGGGAAGGACTGAAATGCTTCCCTGGCTTCTCTCCTCTGAGCATTCCAGGAGTGTCACTGATGGGCACAGAGTCTCTCTCTTTAGCCTGTGTGTTTCCATGCAGAAATGCCTGAAGGGGAGTTCCCTCCTTGCCCACCCCAAAGTCTCCACACTGGGGAGATGTTCATCCTGAGGAACCTCTCAGTCACCATGCCCTGTGCTGGGCACACAGAGGGCAGTGCGGCTGCCCTCCCTGCCAGAGCACTGCAGTCACAGGCCTGTCCCAGTGATGCTTCCCATGTTCTGCAGGTGGAAAAGGAGCTGGACATGGGTTTCCTTTTGCTGCTCTGACTCTTTGTCTTTCTGTGTTTTGAAGTTGAAGCCTGAGAAAGAGGTCAAGTCTGGAAGTTTCCTGGATCTCTTCAGGACAAAGAACCTGCTGAAGGTGACTTTAATCATGTCATGTGTCTGGTAAGACATTTCCTCGTCCCCTCTGTTAAAACTACTAGGTGAAAGAAAAGAAGTTGATGGTTGACAAGAACAGTAAATTAAAATGATTTTTCTTGTAGTACACATGTGAACGTCTTGATCTGCTATCTTTCCGCCTCCACATTCTGGACAAGATTTACCATGTCTGAGCATAGGAAGAAGATTCTTTTCCATGATACTGTGGGGTTTGTTAGAAAGGCTTGAGTAATTCCAGCTTTGGCAATCCCTGGGCCCTGGAGTAGTTTTGCACCTCTCTAGGAGCTTTGGGGTCAGTCTAGAATTTGCAGATCCATTCTGCTTTATCTCCTACAACTACGACACATACAACCTTCAAAGGTGCTGACTAGAACTAAAACAGAGATTGCTGGGAATTTAAATACCTTCCATGTGTTCTAACCTTTCTAAATTTTGGTTATAAACTCCCAGAAAACATCTGGTGACATGTTCTATCCTGCTTTACTTGAATTTCAGGTTTGCAGACAGCATTGTCTACTATGGGCTGAGCCTCAGTGTGACAGATTTTGGCCTGGACATCTACCTGACACAGCTGGCCTTTGGGGCAGTAGGTCTTCCAGCTCGAATTTCCTGCATTTTCCTGCTGGAATGGTTTGGGAGGAAGAAAGTGCAGGGCATTCTCCTGCTGCTGGCTGGCACGATATGCCTCATCCTCACTGGCATCCCTGAAGGTGAACCTTCCCAGCCTGTGAGCAGAGCGGGGCAGTGCCCTGCACATCCCGACCCTTGCTCAGAACCATCCTCCCACCCTGGCAGACCCACGCTCACTCCCACAGGCTCAGCTGCCCCCACTGTCACAGCCCAGGCTGCTTCATCCCCAGCATTCTGGCTTCCCTCACCTTGGATTCCTTCTCCCTCAGGGCTGTGCTGGTTCTCCACAGCTCCTGGCCCTTGGCAGGCAGTGTCCATTGCCCACCACCCACACACTGGACGTCACCATCCCCTGGCAGAAAGCTATAGCAGAAGTAGTGCTTTGAAAGCCACCATGTCTCCCTTTCTTAGATGAAGAGAAAAAGCAAATGCCCCTCATCAGTTTGCATCTGATTGTGCCCCAATCCATGTAGATGTGCCCTGCTACTGTGCCAGGGCTCTGAGTGAGACTGAAGGTAACAGTGGGGCTTTGTCAAGGCAGTTGCTGTTCAAAGACTTGTGACCGTCCCAAAGAAGTGTCTTGAAAAAGACATCTCAGGGGCACAGGCATGTCTGTGCTCATGCTGAGTGATTTCAGAACTTTTGTGATCCGGGAAATGCAAATGGCGAAATGGGGTCTTTGTGCAGGGTTCTAAGAAGAACCTTTATTGAGCTTCTTCCTCAAAATAATACAGGGATGAAGAGCCTTTCAGGCAGGGAAAGCAGGGATTTATATTCGGATTTTGAGGGGCAGGGCAGAACACCAGGCCCAATGGGATGAGCACACAGGGGTGGAGCAAGGGGGAACGGCCAATGGGATACAGTGAATCTGCATGTCACAGCAAGGCATGCTGGGTGAAGCCTTTTTCCTCACCCTCACCAGCGCGGTTATAGCTTGAGGGGTTTACCCTCCAGGGGAGCATTGTGGGCTTCTCTCCTGTTGGCCCACCAGCCTCCACAACTCCCTCTTCTTTATTTAATAAAAAGCCTTGCGGGAGGAGGTGAGAAATTGGTATGGGGAGAAGGTTATGGAAAACAGGGAAAAAACTGGGAAGGAGGAAGACAGAGGAGGGGATATGGTACCAAGATAAGTATGAAGGTAAGTGTGATTCTGGGGAAATAACTTGCTTAAACTTGTCTGGTACTTTGCGTCGTCTGTTATCTGGTGATGGGAAGGTTGACTTGGCGTTGTAGTTGATGACGCCATCTTCATCCCCAAGTGCTGTTCCTCTGGTCTTCTGGTAGATCTGTATTTGTCTCAGTAGAACTTTTGTTATTGTCCATGGAGGTGGTGTTTGCTGTGCCTAAATTTTTGGCATTTTTGGGAGCCATCTTGGGCCTGATGGTGTTGAGACACAGGCATAGTCTCTTCCCCAGGTAATCAGTTAGAAAAGTCCAGATATTTGCTAGGTTTCAGGATCCTTAATCAGCACCAGCGGTTTCTCTTCAAGCTTAGCTCTGGCCAAATTTGAGAAATGCTGAGGTACAGGGGATGTTTGGCTCGAGAAGGAACAATTTAGAAAATTAATAACGTAAAGAGCCTTACGGCGCCTCTCAATGGGAGCTATAATCTCTGTTCCTCCCCACTGCTGATTGAGGACCCTTGTAAGGGTGCCATGAGTCCTTTCTACAATTGATTGCCCTGTGGGAGATTGTGGTATGCCTGTACTGTGCTTTACGCCCCATTGGTTGAAGGACTCTTAGCTTGTTGGAGACATAAGCAGGGAAATTATCTGTCTTAATGCTTTCTGGGACTCCCAGAGTTGTGAGCGCCAGGAGGAAGTGCCTGATGTTGAACGCTATGTTTAGCATTCTCTCCTGTGTGTGCTGAGGCAAACACCACACCAGAAAAGGTATCTATGGATACATGAAATTATTTTAACCTCCCAAAAGATGGGAAGTGGGTCACATCGGTCTGCAACAATTGGCAACTCTCGAGGTCTCTGGGGTTGACCCTGGAGCCGACGATGGAATTTGGTAGGCTTGACAATTTGAGCAAGTGGCTACCACAGCTCTTGCTTGCTCTCCGCACAGGTGAAACATCCTCATGAGAGCTGGGATATTTTGATGATAGAAACCGTGTGACAGCTTTGCCTGGGCGAAGGTGTCAGGAACATTGGCAGTTTTAGCAGACATGGCTAGTGAGTCTGCCTTCTTGTTTCCCTCCATGATGGCGCCTGGGAGGTCAGTGTGTGACCTCACATGCATTTTGTGGTATGGTTGCTTTCTGTGGGAGATGAGATATATTAATTTAGAAAGCATGCGGTACAAATTTGGGTTAGAGAACTGTTTTAAAAGAGTATGTTCTGCCCTCATAGCTACTCTGGTTATGTAGGCCAAATCTGTTACCAGATTAAAAGGTTCTTGGAATTTCTCAAAAGCTCTGACGATGGCAGTTAATTCTGCAATTTGTGGGGATCCTTCCACCATTTGGACATCAGACTGCCCCTTCTGTGTCCTGGGAACCATCCAAGTCATTACTGGCTTGTGGGATCCTCCTAAGTTGTCAGTAAAAACCATCAGAGCTTTGAGAGATGTTCTACAATGCGTTAGTTTAGGGACCAGACTGACAGCCAAATTGAACAGTTTGTGTTTTGGAAGATGAATAGAAATCTGGCCCATGTAGCTATCTAGGGTGAACTGGAAGATCTCATTGATCCCCAGTCATCAATGGAAGGTAAATGTATGTGAACTCACACCCCACAAGCGTGCAGAGGTGAGTCCTAGCCTTTTTGATTAGATTTGCCATAATTTCTTGAGGAGTAGTATTGGTCTTAGTAAGTTGATTATGGGGAAAGACCCACTCAATAATTAAAAGGGGGTCTTTCAAACTTGCATCCCATTGAAAAATTAGGGCATGGAACCCTGGGGCCTTACCTAAGAAAATCAGTTGGAAAGGCAGGCTGGCTCGTAATGGTGGGCTTGACACAAAGACAGGGCCTCCTGGACCTTGATGATGGATTCCCAGGCCTCCGGCGTGAGGATGCATGGCAAATCCAGGTCCTCACTGCCACAGAGCAGGTTGAAGAGTGGTACAAGGACCTCCATCATTATCCCCAGCAGCGGACGTACCCAGTTGATGGACCTGCAGAACTGGTGTAGGTCTCACAGGGTTTTCAGGTCATCCTGGATGGCCAGTTGCTGGGACACAATGGTCCACTCATGGATCCAGAGTCCCCGATTAGTCCAGAGGCAGGCAGGCTGGATTTTGTCTTCGTGGATCTCTAAATCAGCCTCCTCAATGGCTCTGATAGTTCTTTTTAAAGTTACTTTAAGGGAATTTTCTTCAGGTGGGCAGATGAGGATATCATCTATGTAGTGAGAGAAGACCGCATCAGGGAACAGGCCCCTCATGGGCGAGAGGATGTGGACTACATACCACTGGCATATAGTCAGGGAGTTTTTCATTCCTTGAGGAAGGACCAGCCGTGGCCCCTTTTTAGAGAGGCCTGCCTGTTTGAGGATGAGATCAAAAACACAAACTTGAGGGCATCTCAAGGATGGAGGGGGATATTAAAGAAACAGTCTTTAATATCAGTGATGGCAAGTTTCCAGTCCTAGGGCAGCATAGAAGGGCAAACTGGGCTGCAGGGGACCCATGTCTTCAGTGGCGTCATTTGTTTTCCTGAGTTCAGAGAGGAGCCTCCACCTATCTTTGCCAGGTTTTTTCAAAACCAAAATAGGGGAGTTCCAAGGGCTGTTGATCTCAGTGATGTGGCCCTTGGCAAGCTGCTCCTCCACAAGGGCCTCTAGTGTGCTCAACTTTTCATTAGAGATGGGCCACTGATAAACCCTCACCAGACAATTTTGTCTCCAGATGAGTTGAGGGATGGTAGGACTGGCGTACTTGCCAGTGGCCCCAACTAAAAAATCTCTACTGGATTTTTAGAGAGGCTGCCCACTGGGATATGAGGTGCCTGCCCCAAAGGGTGGTTGGTGTCCTCACTACAAATGGGCTGATGGTCTCCATCTTGCCCACAGGACCTTCTACGACAATATTTATTTTATTTCTCATGGAAGCTGCTGCACCTCCAATCCCCAAGGTCATCCCCACCATGGGCTGTAGTTCCCAATTTGCTGGCCACTCAGAGCAGGCGATGATGGTGACATAAGCCCCAGGGCCCAGCACGCCCAGCCGGTAGATCTTCTCCCCCTTGCAGAACAGGCCACACTCAATGATGGGTTTGTTTGAGCCCACAGCCTGCACCCACATGATGATGGGGTTGAGGGGAACCTGTTCCAGGCAGTCTCTGGGTAATAGAAAAACCTGTGCAATTGGCGTCACAGTGGAAAGGGGGAAAGGTGGTTCAGTGCAACAGATTGAGACCAAAATTTCATCTTCGGATTCTATAGTCTGTACTTCTGATATGACATGAATTTCATCCAGTCCATTCAAAGTATGTCCTATGATTAGGATGTTCCAAGGACCAGTTTTTCCTGTAGGGATCTTATAAAGGCCCAGTTTTTCCTGTAGGGATCTTATAAATACCTTCACTGATGAAGTCAATTGACAGCACAGTTACCAACTGGCGCTGGGTGCCCACCTGTATCTTTCTTTATGTTGAAACTCCTGCATGTGGGGTGGAACACTTAGAGGTGGTCCTTGCTTCTCCTGTTCTTCACAAGTGGTAGGGAGAGCAGGACGGGACGGCCTCTGATTTGATGTTGTAGCATGGGGCTGTCCCACGCTCTCCTTCAGTTTCCTGGACTCTGTTAGTAACATGGCTGATTCTGGAGCCACTGATGGCTTTTCCGGTTGTCCTTGATGAGTAGTCTCTCGGGACAGTGCTTTAGAAAATATCTGAAATCACTGCAGTTGAAACATCTACAATTTTCTTTTGAAGCTATTGCTGCAAAGGCTCCTGATATGCCTTCTGCAATGCCCTTTGCAACGTCCTGCGCAACAGTGTTTTCCGTAGAATTGTATTTGGTGCAGGCTTCCACCATTTGCTCAATGGATGGTTCAATGTCAAGGGAAAGGGCTCTTACGATTGCTTTGCACTCTATATTTGCATTGGCCATGATCAGTTTATTCAAAACCTCCTTTCAGGCTTCTGGACTTTTTATTTGTCTTTCAAGTGCAACCTTAAGTCTATCAACAAATTTTATGAAAGTCTCATTCACTCCTTGTTTAATGTTCATGAAGCTCTGTGTTGGAATGGTGCCGTCATGAGTGAGAAGCAGTGATGATTTGGCAGCTGTAGCAATATCATTAAGTGCAGCTTCTGGTAAGTCTTTTGCTTGGTCCATGAGTTTTTGGAAGTTACCCTCTCCTGCCATTTGTTCAATTGTTAAATTTGGTTTGTTTGCATCTTTGGAATATGTATCTGCCAATGACTTTAGATATTTTTTCCACTGGCTTTCCCACAGCATGTACTTGGCTGGGGAGAGGAGGTGTTTTATGATGCTTTTAATGTCATGGGGTACTAAAACATGAGCACAGAATGTAGCTTCAAGTAGGTTCTTAAAGAAACGTGACCCCTGGCCATGCTCTTTGGCTGCCTCACAAAGCTCTTTAAGTTCCCTGTAGGGAAAGGTCTCCCAGGAGCTGGGTGATGTTGTCCTTCTCCCCAGTTTATACACAACTAGGAAGGCCAAGATTTTTTGGCCAGTTCTGGATCCCACTCCTAAGTGGCGTTGCTCTGGGTTTTGGCCCAGCAATACTCAGACCTGGGGCTGGAATCTGAGTCTGAGGAATCGCTACTCATCCTCCAAGCAGGATGGAGGGCACTTTATGACTGCATGGGGCCTTCTTGGGCAACCAGAATCTTCCAGTTGGTGAGCAGCAATGGAGGCCAATATGGATTCCTTTTGGTCGCTGTCATTGCTACTTCTGGCTCCAGTCTTGTGGGAACTGGAAGGGGAGTGACCATCTGGGGAGGAGCCAAAAACAGATGGGGTACAGGAAAGGATGGGGTCCAGGATGGGGAGGGAATTCCCAACGGAAGGGGAGTGTCCCAGCGCTGTTACACCCGTCGATGCAGGGGGAAGGGAGAAGCCGAGCAAGTTGGAGAGCACAGAAAAATGCAGAGGAGAGGCAGGAAAGTGGCCATTTTGGGGTGTGAGGGTGGGAAAACTTGGGCAAGGAGAGGATAAAATGGCAGGGCTGGCCATGTTACCAGCACCATTTTGCAGGGTAACAACAACGGGAAGAGACAAAACAGGGTATGCGGGTATAGGAAGAAAGTTGAGGGGAAAGTCCAGAGCAGCATGGCCTGTGCCATCCTGGCAAGGGGAGGAGAGAGATGGAGAGGCATCAGGGAGACAGCAGCAACCCTCTGCTGAATAGTGACATCCGCCTGCCAATTGCCCCTCTTGTGGGGAAGAGGGTTTAGGGGCTTGGGGAGAGGATGAAGAAAAACTGGTTTTGAACTGGGGACCCGAAACTTTTCCCAAATCATTCCCCATTTTCTTCATTGACTAAACAATAATGTGAAACAAAGGGTAAAATTTCCCAAAACTAATTAGAAAGAACAAAATCATGGTTAAGGTTATAAATCTCTTAAGATTCCCCATAGAAAACCTAAATTTCCCCACTACATGGGCACCCACAACTTGGAAAAAGATGTCTCTTTGAGATGGGCTCAGCTTAGGGCAAGTAAGACTGCTGACCATCCTCAAACTTCTATCCCACACACAGCAGCAAAAGAGAGAAAGAAAGGCAAAAGACCCCAACATAAACGCACAAACTTTTCTTTGGGCTAGCAATGCCCACGAGGCCAATGAAAACCTGCTGGATGGGTGGTCAGCCCATTGACCAGCCTCCAGCCTCTTCTTCAAGGTCTTCAGAGGGTCCCAGTCACCCCTCAGAGAGCCCTCACCAAAGTGCTGGAGGTTCTCCTTGGGGAAGTGGCTGCACCAACAGCGACTTTTCTCCTGCAGCAGGAAGCTGCAGGAGGCGCATCTTCGGGGACATCTTTGCAAAGGCCCCACATTGGGCGCCACTACTCACAGAGGGCATTGTTCAGAGTGCCACAACCATCCCAAAGAAGTGTCTTGAAAAAGACAACTCAGGGACACAGGCACATCTGTGCTCACGCTGAATAATCCAAGATATGCAGATGGAGAGACAGGGTCTCTGTGTAGGGTTCCAAGGACAGTCTTTATTGAGCTTCTTCCTCAAAAGAATACAGGAAAGAAAAGTCTTTCAGGCAGGGAAAGCAGGGATTTATATATGGATTTTAAGGGGTGGGGCAGAACACCCAGCCCAATGGGATGAGGGCTCAGGGGTGGAGCAAGGGAGAAGGGACAATGGGATACATTGAATCTTCATGTCACAGCAAGGCATGCTGGGAGAAGTCTTTTTCCTCACCCTAACCAGGGTGGTTATAGCTTGAGGAGTTTTCTCACCAGGGGAGTGTTATGGACTTTTTTCCTGTTAGCCCTCCAGACTCCACAAGGTTTCCCAATGCTTTCCAGGTCAGGGACGTGGCATTTGCAACTGAGCACTCCCCAAACGCCTGTGCTGGCTCAGCAGCTCACTTCAGTTGCACATCTCGAAAATGCTCAAGGCCTCAGGAGAAATCTGGGTTCTCTTTGCCAGAGAGTATTTTCCAGGTAAGGGTATGCTAGAGATCATTTCCAATGGGTTAGATGGTAGCTTTGCTTAGCAAGTCTACTAGAAAGGGCTGTCCCAAGAATTCCCACTGCAGAGAGTTCTGGTCCCAAGTGAACCATTCCCCTGGAGATTACAGTGGTCATTTCTCCTCCTCCTTTCAGACCAGGCCGTGGTAATCACTGTCTTGGCCACCATCGGCAAGTTCACAGCCACAGCCGCTTTCTCCACCTCCTACGTCTACACTGCTGAGCTCTTCCCCACCATCCTCAGGTGAGGTGTCCCCCCACATCAGAGCTTCCTTCTGCCATGGCTGGAGGTGGCCATGGGGCCACATTCAGTGCAGGAGTGTTGACCCCTGCCCTCCCTGTGCCCCTCTCTCCCGCAGGCAGACGGGCGTGGGGCTGTGCTCGACCATGGCGAGGGTGGCCGGGATCCTGGCCCCGCTGATCATCCCCCTGGCCCAGTACCACCGGGCCATCCCCAAAGCCATCTTTGGGAGCATCCCTGTGCTGGTGGCCCTGTTCTGCATCCTGCTGCCCGAGACCCGTGGCGTTGACCTGGCAGATGACACAGGGAAACAACAACCTCTAGATGAGGTGGGTACAGGGAACTCTGAATTTAAGCGAAAAAAAAAAAAAAAACCAGCAAACTTAAGGCAAAGAAATTATCAGAATCAGGGATGAATACAGTCTCATCTCGTCCTCTTTCCTTCTTGTCTTCAGGAGCAGAAAACTGAAGTGTCTCTCTGAGACACCAGAGATGATGACAGAGACTTGGAGAAGGATGTCTGCAGATGCTAAGAGAGCAAGCGATGATGGGATAGGCACCACTAGCAATCTAGTCTGAGACCATCATTCTTGTAGCAGACCAGGGAGGCATTGCTGCCTGGAAACTGGTCTTTCACATGGTGAACACAATATCCATGGTCACACAGGGAGAGGAGATCTATGTCACTCTGCCTTTGGAACAGATGCACTTGCAAGTGTCCCTGAAACCCAGTTTGGTCATGCCTGGCTGGCTTCCCAATGTGTTCCCCAGTCCTTTGCAAGCTGGTACCCGTGGAACCATCCCTGTCGTGTTTTACAGCAATAAAGAATCACCAGTAGAGTGGCTGTACTGGGCAAAAGTGGGCACTGGGTTTGTCTCTCCTGCTCTCAATCCCTTGGGTCGTCGGGCTGCACCTCAGCCCAAGCCTCGATGTTTGATCAGGATGTCACTGCACCCCTGTCACACACGTATTTAGCTTTTCTTTCCATGTGCTGTTGAAGTTGAGTTTCTAAATTAACAATATAAATTATGCTCTGAGTTTGATAAGAGACACTTGTAATGCAATATGTGAATAATAAATGGTGTTGATTTTTTTTCCCTACTTTTTCACAGCTGGCCTTTGTTACTGCTCATAGCTCTGGTGTATGTTCCTGAAAAAAGCCTGCACTGAGCCTGCGACCCTACCAGGCTGCAGGCAGGATGGTGCTCAGGGGTCAGGAGGGAGCAGTGGAGAAGGGAAGAGTCTTACCTGGAATCACCTACACCAAGGAAAGAGAGCAGGGCTGTTCCTGGCCCAAGAACAGAGAGCTGAGAGGCCCTGGAGAGGCTGGGGATGGGGATGTGCCTGAAGGGAAGCAGGGTGGGAAGGTGTCCCAGAGAGTGGCTGCAATCCAGCAGGGCCAAGCCCAGCTGAAGACAGGACCTGCCTGTGCCTCCCTCCCTCCCATCCTGGAGCCTGTGAAAGCCCTGCCTGGTGCCTCACTGGCTCCCCATCCCACACACCAAAGCACCAAACCCACCCCCAGGATGTACCTGGGGGGCACAGGGGGCTGCACTCTCACTGCCACAGAGGTCCCAGAGACACAAAACAAGGTCTGTGGGTCACTGAGCACACCAGAAACACCACAAACCAACTGCACTAGAAATAAACACCTCACTAGAGCCCTGGGACACCTCCAGCCTCTCGCTTCTTGATGGGCAGGATGAGAATAATGTGAGAGACCTGGAAGGGATTCAGGGCTGTGAACTCCTGCTGCAGGTGGATCCACAACGCCAGGCTCCAAAGGCAGCAGAAGAAATGTTTCAAATGGGGCTCAGTGCTGAAGGCTCCACAAAAAAGCATCTCCCTCCACAGGATGACAATTGTCCCTCAACATACATGTTCAGCAGCTGTGCTTCTGAAATCTCCAATCAGGGTGTCCTTGATAATTTTCATGTTGATTCCACCAAAACAGACCAGGATGCTTCAAAAAAAAATGAACAGGAGCAGAAAAACATCAGGAGACAAGGAAGATTATGACAGTCTGTCTTCTGAAGATTGGAGATGTTAAATTATGATCTTTCAGAGAAGGAGTTCTTTATATAGGTGAAAAAAAAAAAAAAACCAACAGGGAGAGCTGTGTGGTTTTTTTAACCTTCTAAAATAAGCACAAGTTTGCTGATATGGGACCAAAAGTGATTCTTGAAATCAGCTGTACAATGATAAGCAAAGAAAAGTGAAATGAGTTTGCCAAGGTCGGAAGGGCAGAGGAGGGAAATGAACTCTGGTGTCCTGAAGTTTTGGGTTGTGGGGACATTGCTACATCCACTCTCCCTGTGCCCCTGCACTCTGCTCCTCCCCGAGTGCCCTTTGCATAAATATTACATGACATAAATGCTATAGGAGTTAACAATTATACTCATGATAAATAAGCTCAGGAGAAACCCCAGAGGGCTACAGCATGAACACGTGCACACTGAAAAGGGCCATAAAGCTTATCAGTTCACATGTTTTAATCAGCTGTCTGTAAAAAAATATAAAGGTGTTAAAATGATTAATTTTTAAAACAGAACAAAATGAAATGTAATTCACGAAATAAAATAAAATAAAATAAAATAAAATAAAATAAAGTATAATAAAATTATAAAATGGCCCAATAATCTACCTGCCTCACCAGTGCCAAAAGGAGGAATGGGAGGGGACACCATGAGCCGCACACAACAGGGTGAGCCTGAAGATTTGAGATTGATGCGAAGAAGGCAGGACAAGGACAAATGTCTCTGCCAGAGCAGATCTCCCCAGCCAAGTCACCCCACCAAAAGGCCAGAGATGCATTCAGGGTTAAAGGAATCTCTGGAAGTGGTTTAGCTCAGCCTTCTGCTCTGGAAATGTCTCTGAATAACACCAAGTCCACTCATCCAAGGATGTGCATGCAGAGCTGAGTGATGTTTGGCTGTGTGGTGTGTGCAGATGATAAATGCACTGCACTGGTGTGATTTTACACAACTCTAAGTAACATTTACTCCTCTCTTCTTTTATTCTGAACAGCACCAACCATTGGAATCTCACTCTCTCACTCCAGCTTAGGGGTGATGCTTTCAAATAAAATATTCTTCTCCTTTACTGACTCTTATAAGCACAACAGAGCTATTCCCACTCCTGAAACACCAATCCAGGTTGTGTGACCCAGGAGGAGTTTAGATCTAGTTTTATGACTAACCAGGGTTTCTACAAATGAAAACAGAGAGCTTGGGACACAGCTGCCAAGAGCAAGTCTATTGGACTACCAGACATATTTCCTGCTCCAGAGGAGAAGTGCTTTTCTGCTCCTCTTCCATATTCTCTCACATATCTCTGTCTCCAGGATGCGCTCTCTAGTCATTAAACCATTAATGGGAGCAGCAAACTTACTCTGTCTGCATCCCCACCCACAGAAATATTAACCCTCATTTGCAGAATGCCACCTTCGTGCCTCAGACACAAACCTTGAGCTGCAGCACAGCTGCCTTCAGGAGGCCTTGTGACAATTGTCAGGCTGGAGAAGGACAAGATGTCCCTATACCATCCCCAAGAGTGACAGTGCTCTGGCACCTTTGATCTACTCTCTAGAGCAGGGAGGGAATGGCTGGTGACAAAGTGCAGCCTGCAGCACTGCACTGTATCATCAGAATGGACTGGTGTGCCAGTGCAGGTGCTCATTTTATCACACTGGATTAGGGCTTTAGTGCTCACACAGTTTAAACATTAATATTTGCCTATTTAAGCCATAGGCACCGGCACAGCCTGGCCACAGAGGTGCTGCCATGGCTGAGTTTGGGGACCTTTTAAAGGCTCTGGGGGAGTTTGGGCTCTATCAGAAACTGCTGATCCTGCTCCTCTCCCTCCCACTCCTTCTCAACCCTTTCCAAATGGTTGGCCAAGTGTTCATGGTGGTGGAAGTGCCTCACCACTGTGACACCAGCTGGATCCTTGCCGTGGGCCCCAACCTGACAGAGGAAGAGCAGCTGAACCTCACCCTGCCCCGGGGCCCCGACGGGCACTTTGAGCAGTGCTCCATGTTCTCCCCGGTGGACTGGGACCTGGATTCCATCCTGGCCTATGGGCTGAACCACACTGAGAAGTGCAGCAGTGGCTGGGTGTACCCCTCCGAGCAGCCACCGTCCCTGCTGACCGAGGTCTGTACCTGCTGCTGCATCTGCTGGGCTGTGGAAGGGAGGGATGGGAATATCCTGGGCTGTGCTTTGGTCAGCCAGTGCCAGCTGTGGTGCAGAAGAGCTGTGGGTGAGACTTTCAGAATAATGTCTTACGTCAAAAGTTCTTCAGCATTTTTTCCTTCCCTCTATGGATATCCAGCTTTCTTTAGTCAAAAGTTCTTCAGCCTTATGCCCTTCCCTCTATGGTTCTCCAGCTTTCTTTAGTCAAAAGTTCTTCAGCCTTATGCCCTCCCCTCTATGGATATCCAGCTTACTTTCTGCAGCTCTAAAATACCTGAATGGTGTTATATCAGTGGTTTCAGTAATTTCTCTACTGTAAATGTCTGGATCTGCAGATTCTGGGGATCCATTTTCACTTTGATGTTTGGCACTGTTTTTGACATTTCACCTGGCTACAAATCGAGACAAGTGCAATAAGCCAAAATTAACTATGACCACAAGCCTCATTGCCTTCTGGGAGGGGGTGGAATGCCCTGGCCCATGCTTTGGCCAGCCAGTGCCAGCTGTGGGGCAGTCCGGCTGAGATTTACTGCACGGCTTTGCCTCCATCCCACAAATGGCAGCTGGAATCCCTGGAGCTCATTGCAGCAAGGCCATGGTGAGGATTCCTGGGGAGGGCACAAGCAGGGACTATGGGGGTGTGAGTCCAGCACATGTTGTGTCCACCATCTGTCCCCTTTCCACTCTCCAGACCCTTGACTTCATGATGTAGCTGCATGGAGTGACCTTCTGGGAATCCCTGCCACAGTACCCCCTGTTCTTCTGCCTGCTTCTACTCACAGCATCTCTGTAAAAGACATTTACCTTCCAAGTGATTGTCATTGATATTTCTTGGGTCTTCAGGAACCCTCAGTAAAGGCAACAAGACATGCCAGGGCTTTGCAGTAGAGAAAAAGCCTTGTTTATCAGCATCCTCAACTTCTCCATTCTGTCTCATCTCCAACCTTCTAGTTTACATGGTCGTGGTCTGTCAAACACTGTACTTGATGCTCTTGGAGGTCTTTTCCAACCTAAATGATTCCATGATTCTGTGGAATCATTTAGGTTGGAAAAGACCTCCAAGAACATCAAGTTTTCTCTCTCTGTGGACTTTTGCTCCTTTCTCACTTTCCCTCATCCCTCCTCCCTCCTTTCCTACCTGCCAGCTCCAGCACTTTCTCACAAGTACCTTCCATGGAGCTAGAACACAGGACAAAGTCCAGCCTCTGGCATTTGCAAAGGCTCCTTGGCGTCCCTGGAGCACCAAGTCCATTCCAGACAAGGCTTCTCTGCAGGTGTCAGCAGCTGC